CAAAACATGGAATAGGACCGGAAACGATTTTCAAATCTGCAAGCTCACACAGATTCACAGCAGATTGAAAACAAAACCAAATGCACATTAAAATTGGATTAAATAGATTAGATAGATAAAATTAGATAGATTAGAAGTTGATGAGAGTAAGTGACACTTATGCGTGTCACTGTGGAAAACTAGGTCTCTCCTTCCAAAAGTGACTAGAATGTCTGATAATATAATACAATCGTCGATCTTATCCTAACATAATTATGATTCTTCCTGATCTTGCTAGCAATCCCGTTTAACTTAAGTGTGTGACATTCAATTTCAGAGTTGGAAAACTGGGCAGGAGCATGTTTTGTTGGTAAAAGCGTATCACAGAGTTGTGATGCCCACCTCCTGTCTGAGAAATGTCAAAAGCGATTTATTCCATGTCGACACTATACTTTGTCTCTCTAGTCAGTCAACCAATCTTATGAAGTTGACACTAGCTTTGAGTTAAGTATGCTACCTAGTTGATCAATTTCCAGGTGTCCGTCAGAACAGAGATTATTGCATTCAATCTATCTTACAGTATGAGCATGTTGGTTTATACAGCCAGGGACTAAAGGTTAAGTTTCTCACCCAGCAGTAGCTGCTTGATGTGAGTTAGGTACTGTTTGCATACAGTCAGAAACTTTGGTATCAGGTAGGTACTTATTGCTTTGGGTCCTGTCTCTTCTTTTCTCACATGGGAAAAGCGTGCACAAATTGGACCCCAACAATGCATTGGTATACCTGTCTAAAATGTCTGATGATATGATATTTTACTGCTTACATTACTTTATAATGCAATGGTTAAAAAGTTCAATGCAATTTCTACAGAAAGTCAGAAGAAGTAACGTGTGTAAACTGCCAGCAAAGACTTTTCATTCACACCTCAAATGAAGACTTGATAAGATTTGGAGCAGCTTGTGCGATTACTCGAACCTTTGGCAAGTGGCTAGCATGCATATGAGATGTTAAAGTACCAGTGGTCACGGGAGATGTAGGATGACGGGCAAATGCTTCGACCTCTTCCGCGTTGTTTTATGTATGTATATATATATATATATATATATATATATATATATATATATCTGTGTGTGGGTGTGTATGTGTGTGGGTGTGGGTGTGGGTGTGGTGTGGGTGGGTGTGGGTGTGTGTGGGTGTGTGTGTGTGTGGGTGTGGGTGTGGGGTGTGTGTGTGGGTGGGGGTGTGGGTGTGTGTGTGTGTGTGGGTGTGTGTGTGTGTGTGTGTGTGTGTGTGTGTGTGTGTGTGTGTGTGTGTGTGTGTGTGTGTGTGTGTGTGTGTGTGTGTGTGTGTGTGTGTGTGTGTGTGTGTGTGTGTATGCGGTACTCACGGTTGCACAAGAGACGTTGCGCACTTGGTGGCGTATAGCTTGATCCATGGAGAGCAAGCCCAGTAATCAATTACGGATAAGTTAGGGTCGTAGCCTGCAGCGTTCAGTTTGCTCAGGTTGCAATGCTTGTCGCAGGTCACGGAAGACAACCTCGACGAACGGCCTCTGCCGTGACAACTGTCTCCTGTAAAAGTAGACCTTAATCCAGTAGCTGCCCGCGATATTTGTGCGTGCGTCTTGTGGTCTTGCGTTCTGGCGATCTGTGATTGGTTTGGATTGCAACATCGCAAGGCCAACTACGCGTAAATTAGATTTTCCGGAAAAGTGTCGCAGTAGAGCTATAACCAATCAAAAGCTTGAGTGTGCCGTTGAAGCCATGGCTGAAATAATACCGAACAACCGAACATACCGTTGGAGGCAATACCTGTTAAAGCCATATCAAAATCATTAAAAATCGATATATTGTGCTGGATCTTGAGTTTCGAGTCCGTATTAGCTCTGAGTTCTTATAGCTTAATGACCATCGAAGAATTACACTGACCCTGTCGTACACTGATTCGCGAGCTGCGGGAAATCTTCGCGAGCAGCGGCGTTCTGACCGTGGTCCACAGCGACGGCGGGCCTCAATAATAGGGACGCATCACGCGAAACTTTGTCCGGCTGTGGAGTGTCAACCATGAGACATCTGCGTCACACTACCACCAATCCAATGGGCACGCTGCGGCGACCGTCAAAGCCGTCAGTGGCTCCTCCGACGTCGCAGCGTCTGGCGACCTCGACACCGACGCATATGCCCGGGGCTTCCTCGAGCTGCGGAATATTTCGCCAGCTGACGGTCGGTCTCTGCTCGGACCGTCTACGGACACACCCTGCGCTCGGCCGTCCCGGCGCATCACTGTGCGTTTGCCTAGCAGTGGCAGGCCGCTGATCAAGAGGACCCC